GGATGGAGCGGCTGCCCGGAGAGCGGACGTTCCGGGGTTCGATCCCCGGCGGCGTGATACCAAAAGACGTCATCAGGGCCTCTCAAGACAAGAGGGCAAAAGGCTGCATAGCGAATTTGTACGTTTTATATTGATGTACTCAATGAACAAGAAAGGGCCGAGTACCGATCCCTGTGGTACACCAGCTTTTAACTCTTCCGTATCAGACAATGTGCCATTTAAAAAGACAGATTGCTTGCAAGCTATTACATGATTGATTGAGTGAGTGAGTGAGTATGGTTTTACGCCGTTTATAGCAATATTCCAGCAAAATCACGACGGGGAATACCAGCAATGGGCTTTACACATTGTACACATGTCGGAATTCGACACCCGGGTCTTCAGCGTGACGAGAGAACGTTTTAACCACTGGGCTACCCGACCGCCCCAGCCACTCTAGTACTTCATCTTTTATACCATAACATTTTAGGTAATTGAGAAATAAGCGACGACGGAGTTGTTTATCGTACAATAAAACAATGCGAGGAGAATAAACCGTGACATGTGCATAATCGAGACTTAAATTCCATATTTTAAGAAAATAAACACTCAAATAATTTGTATCTAAATCAATACTCAATTTTACTGCAGGAAACGATCAACCTTTGATCTCACCACCAAGATGTTTTGCAGCCACAGCAGTTGTTTCCCCTTTCAACAGGTGGAGTTTATCCGGATCAATATAATTAATTTATTTTGGCCGATATTTATTTGGTGTCTTTTCTAACACGAAGACTTCAATTATTTAAACATACCATCTCAGGACAATTAAGAAACTCATTTTTTTAAAAATAAAAAAACCCATTACCACGATTAAACTAGAATGTATTAAGTTATAAGTACCTAGATCTATGTAAACTCAAGAAAGTATTATATGTATTTGATTTTTTTCTAAACTATTTGGATTTCTTATAGGGAGCAGACAAAATGATGAAGATAAAGATGGTGGGCACCAATCAACCTTATTAGGTATTTATTTTCAAAAACAATATTCTGTTTTTTTTCAACAATGATTCACATAAATGCATCCTAAAATATATTTGTATTTTAGATAGGAGGAAATTATCTCAAAATTAATTTCATATGATTATTGTTTTGTAGAAACTCAATATCACAGTTAATTATTTTCAGAATTAACAGACAATACAGGGTATTAAAGACATGTAAAATTATGTTTGTCTCAAGTATACTGAACCGCAAAAGAAACGTCACCATGAATAGACATATGATAAAACTTTATTTGTCCAAATACTGTAAACATACTTTAAGACATTAAAAAGATATAGCTTGGCAAAACTGATCATCAAGGTTGCAATGAAAGTGTCAAATGTTCTTAAAGTGAAACCCAACACTAGTCTCGGAAAAAATGGCATCACAAGTCAGTATCTCGTGTGTCCGCCATGTGCATTGACGACGGTCGTGCAACGTCGATACTATACATGGAATAGATGAGGCGGTTGATGAAGGCCATAGGCACTTGAGCCCTGCGTGAGGAACGCCTGACGCAGTTCAGCTGCAGTTGTCGGTCTTGGTCGGACGTCATTCAGCCGTCATTGAATCTCGTCCCACAGGTGCTAAATGGGATTGAAATCGGGACTGAGGGAAGGCCACTGTACGGGTCTGGTGCCATTCTGCTGGAGGAAGTCTCTTGTTGCTCTCGCAGTGTGGGCACGGGCATTATCATGCTGAAACTCGTGGTTGTATGGCGTGTGGTCTCAAGACTTGATCAATGTACCAAGCTGCTGTGACACCGTTGCCTCTCCCTTGACCGATGTTCTGGAAGACCACAGGGCCGACCCTCTGTGCAAGACCAATTCCTGCCCACACCATGATGCTCGGACCACCCCACGAGTCTCTCTCAACAACACAAGCATCCGAATAACGTTCCCCACGGCGTCGCCAGACTCTCTCTCTCTCTCTGCCATCTGCTGTTGAGATACAGTAACGGCTCTCGCCTGAGAAGAGGACTCTTCTCCACTGCTGGTGGTGCCAATGCTGGTGCTGTGTTGCCCGTAAGGAGACGGTCCAGGCGATGACGTGATGTCAGAATGGGTCTTCGGTGTGACCTGTGACAGTGGAGGTGTCTGCTCGTCAATCGTCGACGCACGGTGTCCGCACTAATGTGTCCCCATGGTCTGTCGAGCAGTTTCCGCAGCAGTAAGAAAGCGATCTTGAAGATGCTGTTGCACAATCTGGCGATCCTGACGTCGGGTGGTGACCCCTGGTCTTCCATTACGTGGTCGGTCATCTGTAGTGTTGGTGGTCTGGTACCGTTGCTGGAGCCCGTATATGATCCTTACGTGGACTTGAAATGCATTGGCTACTTGCCGAGCGGTTTGTCCAGCTTGCAATCGTCCAAGGGCTTGGTGTCGCTGATTTCTTTTTAATCTTGGCATGTGGTAGCAGTTCAATAACGAATGAATGTTATCCGATCTGGGTGGATTTTTATAGGACAAGAAATGGGGGAACGCATGTGCATTTCAATTTGCACGGAACTCACGTGCATCGGGTTACCATGGCCGTTGCCGTGATGCGTTTGGGCGATCGGTTTTATTGTCATCTGCTTTGGTTTATTATCATCAAATTTCAATTTCCCGGGCAAGGTAATGTTAAATTTTAGAAACTTTGACAAAAATTACCCAGATATTTAAATGACAACGTTTCATGCAATGTTACTTGGGTGACGTCCCTTTTGCGGTTCAGTATATATTCTTTAACCCAAAATTTATTATTTACAATGTTTACTGAAAAATAAAAACAACAACATTTCTTGAATAATGCAATTGTTACAATATCATAGCAGACAAATAGCCCCAATATGCATAGCTAGCTTAAATATAATCATAATTATTTAGCATTTCATTATTCTACCATTTCAAGGCTTACAGTGGTTTATTTTTTTCACATAATCTAATTGGCTGCCTGAGAGTCGAAAGCTGTGTCTCTATTTTAATCAGAGACCTTAAATTATTCTGATGTGTAATGTGTAAATTCACAGAACTTGGTAGGTAAAGAAAAACTCAAATCTATGGATGACGAAGAAATGACCAACATGAGGTCGTCTTATAACATTTGACCATATGCATAAACCTCATTTCTTTACATAAGTGTAACAGGGATTAATTTAGTGATATTATATCGTATGCATAAATGTGTAATTAATCATTTTAATCTTATTTCAGGTTTTAGTGATCCGGCAGACGACGACTGGTTCATATGTATACAAGTTGCAATTAGTTGTCAGTCCGTCCGTCTGTCCCTTGCTTCTATGTTTACTGCACAGTTCTGTGTCACAGGGCTGGTCACATTTTAGGTATAAGGGTATTTGGGTTGGTCTATTTTCATGTCACTTCTCACTTGATTGGTCCTGTTTCAAATATACATGTCATCCGCCATGTTACTGACTAGTCACACTATCAATGCACGAGGATTGCACACCAGCTTAAATATTGTTCAACTCAAAGGTTAGTTAGTATACATTTTAGTTGTTGTATAGATTGTAGATTAAATTCTAATATAAATCATTGTATAAAAAAAGGTTTAAATATGTTCATCATCAACCTAGTGTAAGTATATACACAATCTACCATTTAATCTGTATGAATGTGCGTATGGTTTGTTTTCTATGTTTTATTTGGTCAATATGCTGGCTAGAAATTATTGTTTTGTAACTGTTTACTGTACGATGTAAGATTGATATATCATCAATCCTGTATTGTTGGTAACATTGTAATATTTCATAGTGGTCACACTTATGTATATATGTTTCAGAAAGTATAATGGTAGACCTTTTATATATAATCTAGTTGTCAAGAAATACATTTGATCAATGTAGTATCCCTTATATAGGTTTACTGAGTTTGCTGTCGGGCTACTTGGTGCGTGGACACACTCCCGTGTCGCCCACAGGGTAGGTTGCTTTGTACAGACTCTATAGTATGTTTCATTGTTGTGCCTTGTTATTATTATAGTCTTCATGTCAACAGATATTGTTTTCATAACATGTAAATATGTGGTTATATAAAGTCATTCGTAATGTACTATTGTGTTATACCTCTATATGATTATTGATATGCGCATTTATGTACTTAGTTCATAATGATGATATGTTCACCACGTGTGATTTTATTTTATGTGAATTGTTAATTTATTATTATTACAGAGTGTCTTTTTCCACTATCATGGAATAAACGGATAGTACCTCACAACCCGTAGCCTGTGGTTTATGTACATGACAACCTAACACCACTATCTCATGACTGCAACATTAGCAATGTCAAATGTTAACACTTTTTACCAAAACTTTATTATGAACAGGTCACTAAATATACTTGTGTATATTTATTATGTTTCTTGTTTTAAATATTGAAAGAATAATTAATGTTTTACATATATCCTATGTATTTATGTTTCACACACAATAAATTATTGTGCTTGTCAAATTCACATTGTTTGTTGTCATTCACAAATATGGGGAAGTTATATAACATGTTTGGTGTTTTGACGTTAAATATTATGTTTGAAAGACAAATTGTCCGCTAAATAAATTATTATTTGTTTTTCTTCATAAAAAAAACACATAGTGCTCACCATGCTCAGGAACAAAAGAAAAGCAAACAAAAAAAGATGACATGAAATAATCATCCCGAGTGGTTACTAAACACGGGAAATCCTCAACTACGATCTCGTCTTTTCTCGCGTATTGTTATGTGAGTATAAGGATTAACCACTCGTTGTAATCGTGGCAGATTAATCACTCGTAAGTAGATTTTTCGGTAACAACCGAACACAGTGGTTAATCCTCTATATAAACAACGCTTCGTTCTTCATTGTTCTTTGCGATGTATCGCGTAGCTATCTTATATATTATGACACTTGAATAAGCATCTTCTTCTTCTTCTATATTATGGTCAGTGCTATTTTGACAATCGGAATAATAAACGACACTTTGTTGTTGTGAACACATATATTTTTTTGTTTTTTATTTGATGTATCATTGCAGTTCATTACATATAATATGATACAAATGTCTATAACAGTCTCGGAATAGTACACGCACACCTACACACGCTCAACTCTAGGAATGATACGTTCCGAAACATAAGTGAGTGAGTGAGTGAGTATGGTTTTCGATTCTTTAACCAATATTCAAGCAATATCACGGCGAGCGACACCAGAGATGGGCTTCACACATTTTACCCATGTTGGAAATCGAACCCGGACCTTCGGCATAAGGAACCACCCAGTATAAGAATAACTGCTAATGAATCAGGAGATTAAATTGTTACAAGCAAACCAGGATTAGTCTCTTGTAGAACTGGCATATGCCGCATACTGCTTCCCGGTGAAGGCATTGAAAGGTCGTTTCAATAGGGATTTGTGGAATGGGAAAACAACTCCCCGTTTCCCAATCAGTCCATTGGCAAGAGGATCAAATGGTCTTTTGTTATGCGGCTCATCGACTGAAAACACTCCCCGTTTCCCAATAAGGTTATTCGCAAGGGGGTCAAATGGTCTCCTCTTATATGGCACATCGACTGAAAACACTCCCCTTTTGCCAATAAGGTTATTCGCAAGGGGGTCAAATGGTCTCCTCTTATATGGCACATCGACTGAAAACACGCCCCTTTTCCCAATAAGGTTATTCGCAAGGGGGTCAAATGGTCTCCTCTTATATGGCGCATCGACTGAAAACACGCCCCTTTTCCCAATAAGGTTATTCGCAAGAGGATCAAATGGCCTCTCCGTGTGTTTGTATTCTTTAAACGCCACGTACCTCTTTTCAGTCAGCCCACTTGAAAAGTTATCAAAACGACGTTGTTGCGGTAAGTTCGAACTGTGTTTCTGTTTCTGTACTATCGTGTTGAATCCATGCGGGAGGCGAGACCATGACTGCACCTGAACGTCTCCGACTGGAACTGGATGTCCCTTGGATGTTCTGGCAAGATTTGAGAGGATACTTTCAGTATAATGAAGAGACAGCATAAGAGCATCAATGGTCTTTTCAACGGTTCCTGTGAGCGAAGGTGTTAAAGGAAACCTTCCATCCAGTGTTCCCATCCTACCCTCATCCTCTGCATCTTGTCTTGGTCGCAGTACGTTGAAAACATCCTCTTCCAAAGAGTCTGCTTCTAAGATAGGTGTAACGGATGAAGGTTTAGATATGGTCCCTTCATCTCCATTGATGTATTCCTTGGCAGATTTCGGAAGCTTGGATAGTAGAGATATGATGCGGTCGTTGACTCTGGCACTTGGCATCGATTCAAAACTGGCTTCATCAGTTGGAAGGGATGAACCTCTAAGGATGTGGTTAAATTGCTTCTCTTCCCTCGATGATCTGCCATCTGCCTCCGTTTCAAGAAAGGCTGTAACGGTTCTGAAAACGTCAATGGGAAATATTATAGAAATGAATTCAATAGGCGTGTACACTGTACGTGTGTAGTCTAGGGTGTTAGTGCATGGTGACGCCAGTCAGCAATAGCCCAGGAATATGAAGGTGGGTGAATATAATCGAGGCTGGGCCTGACACACTGAACACATGAAAACTTCACATATTGGAAAACTTGGAAATTTATTTTACCATTAACTCTGTGGTCGCGGAAGAGTATTTATTTGTTTCTTTCTTTGTTTGATGTTTAACGCCGCAATTAGCAATATTTCAGCAATATGACGACGGTCTGGACCAGACAATCCAGTGATCCACGCAATTGGGATCAGCCAAGTCCGCGAGCCTGACCACCTGATCCCGTTAGTCGCCTCTTACGACAAGCATAGTCGCCTTTTACGGCAAGCATGGGTTGTTGAATACCTATTCTACCCCGGATCTTTACGGGTCTTCGGAAGAGTGAGTGAGTTGAATTGAATGCCTCCATGAACAGTATATCATATGGAAATATATATACACAGCCGGGCAAAATTGGATTTGACAAATATAATTACAAACGTTATCAAAACGTTACAAGGCTGAAAACTGTCGCCGAAACACTGCAAACTCAAAATAATTATTAATGCAAGGTATATTTCTAAACATTTCCTTAAAAACCAAAAGGCAATAAATTAAAAACATCAAGAAACGTACCTCATAACGATCAACAGCAGGAGCATTGTATGAGAGCAGAAGTTGGCACCTGTCATTGTGATTAAAGACATCTGTCCTTGCTTGTTCCCGTCCTTGTCCTGGTTGATGCCGAGTCGTCACAAACTTCACGAGGAACCGTGAACGTAGCAGCAGTGATCAGTGAAGACACAGCTCGACATTTTATACTCTTTGCCGGTTTTTCACACCTTTCATAGGCCACGTGTCCTCGTGTGTGTTTTACGGGATTATTCTGATTGGCTCTTGCTTGTACGTCATTGTATTGAAGGAAACCAACCTTTTATGGAATGTTTATGTCCGTTAGGCCTAATACTAATATATTCAGGAAGAGATTATTATTTAAAGACTGACTGTGAACCCGGATGCTTGCAGGGTGCACATCGGATCTTCGATTCATACCTCAATGAACCGAACAAATACAGTCATTCCTTATAATTATATTCGACAACGAAAACATGTTTTATCTTGAACTGTTTAATCCAAAAGACACGGGTTTTGTGGACACCAGCCGAGCGAAACACAACAGGAAATAGAGCCCGCGTGGTTGCCTTTTATTCCTTCTCGGGCTTCGGACTAGATTGATGGATTGGACGATGACTATGCTAGAATTTCGTTAAAACGTCCAATGCATGATGATACAATCGAGCAGAGATCCCCTCCAATGGAAAGGGGATTCCCCGACATTCTGTACTTGGTGAAAGTCGTCTGCTGGAGTTGGGAAGTGGAGGCAACAACACGTGATCAATTCAGCCAATTAGAATGCAGGAGTTACAACGAACACAGCGAAAATGAAAATATTTTTCAGCAAAATGGGTTTAGTACTTTACATCAATTTAGAAAAGCATCAACACTCTAACGTTCTGCTTTAAATATACTTAGTTAAGGTAGTGAAACATATCACGTTGTTTTTAGCTTGTCTGTTTATGGAGGGCGTATTATTGTTGTTGTTCAGTCATAATTCGATTATGAAATAAAGCGAAATGCCGGTAATCTGGAAACACTTCTTTTGCAGATCTCTACACATTTACATAATCATGCTTAAACATACGTCACCTCACACCCAGGAGGTAGGGACCAGCCTTTAGATCTTCTAACAGTCGGTCTTCGAGCAAAATAAAAATAATTTGTTCCAAAAAATAGTGTACAAGAAATTAACAATGGCTTTCTCTCGCTCGTCGTATGTTATGAAAAGCATCCTATTTTTGTTTAAAACAGCAGCGTTTACACTTGTGTAAGGTATATTCAATTGAAGGATTCTACACTATTAATGTTGGCAGCTACGTCATTGTGCTTTAGAACAGGGATGCTTTGATTCCTTGAAATTGGGTCTAACGTTTGAAATCTAATGTTTAGGTGATATGTATAAATGGTTAGGTCTACTTATACCGGAAGTGACAAACGCATTCTGGGAATAACAACTACATACAATGTAGTATGTTGTTTTACTGCAGTGACAGGGGCCGTCGGGTAGCCTAGTGGTTAAAGCGTTTGCTCGTCACGCCGAAGACCCGGGTTCGATTCCCGACATGGGTACAATGTGTGAAGCCCATTTCTGGTGTCCCCCGCCGTGATATTGCTGGAATATTGCTAAAAGCGGCGTAAAACCATACTCACTCACTACTGCAGTGACTGTTACGCCTCCTCGCACACAAGTAGGGTGTTCCACTCTCAGGTCACGATAGAGTTTGTAAATATTGACGAAGCAGCGAAATCGAAGCCGAAACTAATTTTCTCGTAAGTACTTTTTATTCAGATTTGAGGTAGATGTGTTCAAGAAGTAACAGACGCCTTCCTACTACTTTCACCTGCAGACCAACCAGTATATTCAATGAAAAGTCATATTGTTTTGAAGCCCCTGGGGTCATTGATGTCGACGATGTTTAGACGTTGTTGTCTATGTAATGTAAGTAATTAACATAAAAGTGTTTTTTTATTGTCGTTGATAGTGCCACCATGTTAGTTTTTTGCCTTGTTGAAGTATGTGTTAATGTACATGATAAAATTGAAGGTAATGATATTTTGTGTTACATGTAATGTGAAAAGTTTGTATGTATGTGTGTGTATATGTATGTGTGTGTATGTATGTATGTATGTATGTGTGTATGTTTGTGTGTATGTGTGTGTGAATGTATGTGTGTATGTGTGTGTGTCTGTGTGAGTGTGTGTGTGTGTATGTGTAATGGATTCCGGGCGTGGGAGTGTGTTGGGTGTATAGAGTGTATTGTAGGAAAATGTTTACTTGTACGTTACATAAAGTCTAGTGTGTATGTTTCAGTACATGTCATGTAAATGCATGTAAATGTACACGTGTGGTTGTATGTTAAATCAGTTCAATGCTGTCTTATGTAATCCCAACTGTTTTATACTATTTTATACAGTGTTTTAATGAGAATAGATGTATCCATAGACCCACGAGGCCGGGTGTTGTCCACCCACTGTAAAGAAACTCAAAGTAATTGTACCTCAAAGCAAGTGACATCTTAATAAAGTATTTTTCTCTTCATTTCTTCTTCACAAATGCGCACGGTGTTAAAGCAGATTGGCTGTAAATGTTCTCACAATAGGATATCCGGTATTTTCACAATCAATCAGGGTGGAGTTTGAGTGGAAGGTGAGACGCAAGATCTATAAAACGTACAGATTATGCTGGTTTAATTTCTCTTCTTTTCTTTTGCATCGCCAGCAGTTTAGAGTTTGAGTCGGAAAGGGGTATGAAGTTTTGTGAGAAATAAGAACTGTGTGCAAAATTAGAAATGCTTACAAATACTTTTCTCGCTTTATTGAATATATATGAATCATAGGGTTATGAAACTAACATATATCATAATAACGCAAATGTGATTAGCTGAAAAATGTACTTTTATAGGTAAAATGAGGATAAACTTCGAAAATATTCGTATTGTCATGCATGTATGAAACGGCCCAGCTGTGGCCTGGGGTAATTACCTAACACCTGTCCGGGGGTGATCACCTCACACGGCCCGTGCATTCTCACCTAAATTGTGGGTGGTTTCAAAATATTGCTGTCATTATACTTGATTGAGATATGCATTGACGGGGTAGCAAGTACTGCATTATCTTTGATGGAAAAATGATGGAATAGTCAAAAGCTACAAAACGGATGAGACTTTGAAGGTTGGGTTTTGAAAAACCCGTTTTAGTTGTTCTACAGATGATTTCTCCAGCCAGCATGTGACTCAGCTGATGACGTATCTGAGTCTGTTATACAAGCCAGTCGTGTGATAAATAGTGCAACAAGGTTGATATCTACGCTGTCATTTGGACGGAAATAACGTTCCATTTCAACGCGTCGTCACCGCCCTTTGCCATACCTCTGGTCTAAATCGAGCAAAGGCTGCGTTGATTAATTTCATTCTCGAATTTTCCCACAAGTCGGGGGTACCTCCTGCTCACAAAGCTTGTACACTGTACGCCTTATCATCCTGTATCAAAGCTGTCTGATATCCTTTTACGTCCCGGTTTGGTTTTTGAGACGACCCCTACCTTCTTCGTTTCATATATCATACAACAGGATGAACCGAGTATGACGTTGTTTACATATCATGACTAAATTTAATATATGTGTATATACATCTGAGGTAACAGCCAAATCGAGATGAACGTTTATAAAATAAGTACATCTGACTCAACACGTCAATTTGTTTTGTTATATCTTGATGTTTAGCTATGGGTCATTCCATTTTCAATCAAGGTAACAGCATTGCACTTTGTTGTGCACTCAACCAGAAAAGTTGTTATTTTAAGGTGTCTAACAACTTGCTGTCTAACTAATGGGAGGACACCTACCGCAGACTTGTTGGTGTGAAAGCCCCGGAATGTGGGCAGTTCGGTAATACACCCTTTCTTAACTCATAGATGGTTTCCCTCTATCTCTGTTAAGGGTAAAGAATAATTATTTAAACTGTTCCTAATACTGACTCCGTGTCGTGTACCATGGCTGGGGTCATGCAAGTGTATTGCAACATGCATCATGGGTTGGTTGGTTGGTTTGTTGTTTTACGCCGCACTCAGCAATTATGACGGCGGTCTGTAAATAATCGAGTCTGGACCAGACAATCCACTGATTGACAGGCTGAGCATCGATCCACGCAATTGGGATCGATGACATGTATACAACCAAGTCAGCGAGCCTGACCAACCGATCCCGTTAGTCGCCTTTAACGACAAGCATAGTCGCCTTTTACGGCAAGTATGGGTTGCTGAAGACCTATTCTACTACTCTACCTATTCTTGAAGTAGCAGATTCAACTGATGTTTTTTTCGAATTCCATTACTGCTGAAGTTGCTGAAGACCTACTTGAACAAAGTCACTTGCCCAGGATGACACCTTATTGAAGATTTCTGTTCTGTAGGAAGCATTCTTGAACACAAATGCCTGTTCACTTAATATAAATGATTGTTTTGAATATATGGCTCAAGATACCCATATACATATGGAGGCATGTTATCTGAACTCTATTATATGCCGATGACATTGATTTGTCAGCGTGACCGTACTTGGCAAGGCGGAATATCCGTTCCAGGAAAAGATACAACGCTTAATTTGTCCCCCTGTTTTAAACACATAATAAAAACATGCTTGCAAAAAGAATGGGTAGGGTCAAAAAATATTTAAACAAAATAACAGGTGTGACTCAAGGCTGACTGACAAACAATCTGTCTCAGATTCACCCACCCCTGAATCCAACTCAACACAAATCTTACAAAACATTGAGAAAAAATGTGATTTAAATTTAAATTACTGAAAACATATTGAAGAAAAATATACAAAGGACGTATTTACGTACACTATGATTATATTTTTTTAAAGATTGAATGATTTTAATTGCTTCCCGCGTATGTAAATGCTGCCCTGAATACCCTCCAAATTGAACCTGAAACCCGTGCACTGAAAGGCATCTGCGCTCAGTTTGCGATTGTTGTAATCAATGGCAGGCAGGGGGCGCCAGGTGTATGACGCCTGCAGGCCGTGTACTTAACAACAGTCTCTCTTTGTCGCTCTCATCCTCAATCCGATACGTGAAAGGTGGTTACACTGATTATGTCGGGTGATGATGTGTGATGAACCACCTCATTACGCATGACATATGCTGTGGTGTAAATTA